CAAGCATGGTGACACATACGTGTAGTCCCAGGTACGCAGGAGACAGGTGGAAGGATCACCTGAGCCCAGGAGATTGAGGCTGTGGTGAGCCATGACTGTGCCTCTGCACTCCAGCCTGGGCAACAGAGTGAGACCCCAACTGAAAAAAAACTGGCTACAGCTGGGTGACTCACACCTGTAATTGCAATATTTTGGGAGGCTGAGACGGGAGAATTACTTGAGCCCAGGAGTTCAAGGCTAGCCTCGGCCACAGAATGAGACCTCATTTCTACAAAAAATGCAAAAATTAGCAAGGCATGGTGGCATGCCCCTGTAGTCCCAGCTACTTGGGAGGCTGTGGTGGTGGGAGGATTGCCTGAACCCAGGAGGTGAGGCTGCAGTGAGCCAGAATGAAGCCACTCCAGCCTGGGCAACAAAGTGAAGCCCTTTCTCTTAAAATTAAAAAAGAATCTTGGAGGACAAGGAGGGGGGTGAGGGGTAGTGGTGAGGGGGTGTGGCCTTCAAGGGGACCTGCGTCTGGCAAGGTGAGAAAGCCACCAGGGCAGGGCTGGGTGACAGGCCTCGCCCTCCTCTTTTGGAGGGAGGCTGCAGCGGTCCCTGGGCGCTCGGGCTGGCAGGGCAGGGGCTCCTCCCCAGTTTGAGAGTGGGACTCTGGCCTCGCCCTCACTCCTCCCGGGCTCCTTTCCCAGCATCCTGTACTCCTGACGGAGGCGCCTTTAAACCCACGGAAAAACCGGGAACGGGCGGCGGAGGTTTTCTTCGAGACCTTCAACGTGCCGGCCCTCTTCATCTCCATGCAAGCTGTGCTCAGCCTGTGAGTAGCGGCTAGCCTGACCCCAGGGCACGGGGCGGGTCATCGAGGCCAGCTCTGTCGTGGAGGCCAGCTCTCCTCGGGTTGGTTCAGAACACGAGCCCTCTGCTAGGGAAGGCTCACAGAGGGCGGGAGCGGGCGGCGCCTTGCTGTACCTGAGCACTGTGGCTTCAGAGCTGAGGCCAGAGGAGGAGACGTGGCTGGGGTGGCCGGACCGCGCGGCGGTGCTCTGGGGCGTGGTGCCCAAGGCCCTCAGCCGGGCCTGCTGAGAAGGCTGCGTGCTGCCACCGCTCCTCCTGAAGGCCCCTGGCACGCAGTCACGCATGTATTCAGCACTTGCTGCGTGCCAGGTGCCCCGGCAGGCCGGTGATGGCAGTCGTGACCCAGCTGACACCACCACACCCCCGTTCTCACAGCGCGCCGTCTGTCATGCTCCCGCCTGCCTCACAGCAGGGCTAGGCACACTGCAGGATGGCCTGCGGGCGGGACTCGCTTGACTTCAGTTAGAATGGGAGGCGATGTCTGGCAGTCAGGAGGTGTCGGGGCCAGCGTGGTGGGGAGGCACTTTGAGAGGCTGAGGCGGGAGTGCCACTTGAGCCCAGGGTTCGAGACCAGCCTGGGCAAAATAAGGAGTCTCCATCGCAACCAGAACAGACAAGTGAACAGATAAATCAGCGGGCACAGCCGCACACGCCTATAGTTCCAGCAGCTCCGAGAGCCGAGGCAAGCAGCTCACGGGAGGCCAGGAGGTTGGGGCTGCAGCACGCCACGAGCAAATGAAAGGCAGGTGTGGAAGGCCACGTGGAGAAAAGCGTGCTTCTGATGGAGTGAAAAACCCGTTTTCCTCTACTGGGTTGCCTTTCCTGCTGGCCCCTGCAGGTGCTTTCCCGTCTAAGAGTCAGCACTGCCCAGGCCGATCTCTGCCACCGGGAACAGGCCACAGGGGCGCTGTTCTTTCTGGGGCCCAAAGGTGTGGCCCCCTTGGGTCGGGGGCTCGAGGCTCGGTGCTCAGCACCCACAGCCCCGGAAAAGGGCGGCCAGGCCTCCATCCTCCCAGAGTGACGCCACCCTCTTGCCCCAGTTATGCCACAGGCCGGACCACGGGCGTGGTGCTGGATTCCGGGGACGGCGTCACTCACGCCGTGCCCATCTACGAGGGCTTCGCCATGCCGCACTCCATCATGCGCATCGACATCGCCGGACGCGATGTCTCCCGCTTCCTGCGCCTTTACCTGCGGAAGGAGGGCTACGACTTCCACTCCTCCTCCGAGTTTGAGATCGTCAAGGCCATCAAGGAGGTGAGCGCCGCGACCTCGGGATGGGTGCCCAGTGCGCCTGCGTGACAGTAACCAGGCCGTTCTGCCTGGGTGCACGTGCTGCCGCCGTGTCTCCCATGGGCCGGAGCTCCGAACAGGCCCTTGAGGAAGTCGCGAGCCGCAGGACCTCCTGCCCTCCGCGGCGCTGGGGAGCCCTCCAGCTGGGTGGGAGGACCTGAACCACGGGCGGTGGAAGGAGAAGCAGGCCTGGACCGGGGCTAAGAAGAGGTTGCAGTCCCAGACCAGGACCCAGAGGGCCAGGTCTGAGCCTGCCCGCCAGGAAAGTGGAGTGCACAGAACTGCCCCATGTGTCGCCCGGCAAGGCGCGGGGCCTCCGTTCTCCTGCTTCTGGGCAGCAGCTCCCAGAGACGCGGGGTGGTCACCGCAGGGACAGTTGTCTGCAGCAGCACGCATCTCCCTGCGATTTGCCGGGTACGCGCAGGCTTCCTGCCAGCCTGACTGTAGTGCCTGCTTCCACAGAGAGCCTGCTACCTCTCCATAAACCCCCAGAAGGACGAGACTCTGGAGACCGAGAAGGCCCAGTACTACCTGCCCGACGGCAGCACCATTGAGGTGGGTGGCCGGCCTCTCCCTCAGGCCCGCAGACATTCTGGCCCACACGGTCCCCTCGAGGGGCTGGGGTTGGAGGACCCGTGCCTTGGCACCCTCTGCCTGGGCAGCCGAGCGGAGGAGGCACGGGAGCGCTCCCAAGGCTCTTCCCGGGCCAGTGTGGGGCTGGGAAGCACGGCCTAGCCACGCCTGGACACAGCGGGTGGCGGGCTGCTGCTTGAGGTCCCCCTGCGAGGAAGACATTCCACGAGCCGGTGTCTCCGCGTGCTGGTGCCCGAGAGCTCTCAGCCAGAAGAGGCCGAGCAGAGTGGGCTTCCCAGAAGTCCCTGTGACATGCAGGGCCGGTCTGGAGCCTGGCCTCTGTGGCCCCCCGGGCACCAGGAGGCTTGTGGGTCCTCTCCCGGTCCACTCCGCGGGGATCTGGGCCCAGCCCCCGCCGAAGCCGGCCCTCCCCCCCGCAGATCGGCCCCTCCCGGTTCCGGGCGCCTGAGCTGCTGTTCAGGCCAGACCTGGTCGGCGAGGAGAGCGAAGGCATCCACGAGGTGCTGGTGTTCGCCGTCCAGAAGTCCGACATGGACCTGCGGCGCACGCTGTTCTCCAACATCGTCCTCTCGGGAGGCTCCACCCTGTTCAAAGGTGGGCCCTGGCTCTCGGTCCCCCACCGGCGTGCAGCTGCTGCCGGGCCTGGGCGCCGAGACCTGACTCGGCCCTCTCCTGCCGTCCAGGCTTTGGCGACAGGCTGCTGAGCGAAGTGAAGAAACTGGCTCCGAAGGACGTGAAGATCAGGGTAGGGGCACGGGCAGGCCCAGGTGGAGCGGGGCCTCCCGCTGGCCCTGCTAGGCTCTGCGGGCAGCCCGCACACCGGCCCGGGTCAAGAGCAGTCCCGGGAGGGTCCGTCCTCGCGCCCTGCCTCACTTGGAGCAGGTGGCTCCCACACCCGGCCGTGGCAGGCGCTGGGCCGAGGCCCCCGGGAGCATCAGGGAATCTGCGTGACTGACACGAGGCGAGCGACCTGCTGCTGCTGGGCCCTCGGGTGGCCCCTCGTGGAGTCTGGCACCCCCAGCGGGGGGGGCTCTGAGCGAAGCAGCACGGGGTCTGCCTCTGCCCGGCACCCTGGCAGCCGTGGGTACCCCGGGCTGCCGGAAGCCTGCTTCCCAAACGCAGGCCTGGCCGCCCACCGTGCCCGCGAGAGGCAGAGCCTCGGGTCTGTCGAGCGAGGTCACCCTCCGCCCGGGGCAGAGGAGTCTGGGAAGTGCGAGGTGGGGGGGGGGCAGGAGGCCTCAGGTTCCTCCCTCCACCCCTGCAGATATCTGCACCTCAGGAGAGACTGTACTCCACGTGGATTGGGTGAGTAGCGGACGGGAAGTGGAGGCACCCCGTCCCTGTAAAGGACAGCCAGACTGCTGCCCGCTCACCCCGTTCCCTGGGTTTCCCTCCCCTCCAGCGGCTCCATCCTCGCCTCCCTGGACACCTTTAAGAAGATGTGGGTCTCCAAGAAGGAGTATGAGGAGGACGGCGCCCGCTCCATCCACAGGAAAACCTTCTAACGCCGGACATCGTCTCCACCACTCTCTGAAGTTAACTCCACTTTCAAACTCGCTTTCTTGAGTCGGGAGGTTTGCGAGGAACCGGGTGTGTGTGAGTGCGTGTGTGGGTTCGAGTGTGTGCGCGTACGGGAGTGCCGTGCGGCCCAGGGGTCCCGGGCCGAAAAGACGATGAACTACCCGCAAGGCGACAACGGCCTGAGGCCTGGGCTGACGCTACCTGGTTCTGGCTCTGATGGGGGCAGTGCTGGCAGAGGCCGTGTGCTGTGCGGCCTGCGCTGATGACCGCGGGGAGCCGGGGAGGGAGGTGAGCCGCCCCGAGATGCTGCTGCTGCCCGCCGCTGGCTGGGCTCCCCTGCGCCACCACCCAGGGTGCCCGCGGCTCAAGGCAGCGGCTGCCTCCCCGCCACAAGCTGGGGGGGGGCTGGGGCTGAATTCTGCCTGGTGTTGCTTGGGAGGCTGGGAACGCGCTCCGGGAGCTGGGAGGCTCGGGTGGGGAGCGACCAGGGCTCCAGAGGGCAGCAGTCGTCTGACGGCAGCAGAGCTCACGCGCCAAGCCCAGCCCCTTCCAGGGGTCCTGGAGAGCTCAGGGAGCTGCAGGCTCCAGTCCCGACTCACCTTCCCCACCCCGCTGCAGCACTGTCTTCGGTTTATTTATTGGAGTGTTGGCTCGGGAGGGCTGGGGACCGCGCGCCCTCCCGCCCTCACACCGCCGTTTACACGAAGCCTCGCCCGACGCGGGCTGCCCCTGCGGTGGAGAACGCAGTGTCCACGCGGGCAGGGCTGATCTTGAAGGCTCTCAGCCTCCCCCCACCCCTCCTGCGCTGCCCTGGAGTCAGGCTGGCTGCTGGCAGATGTGCTAACAGCAGTGGCATCACTGCTCGCAGGGGCCTCCGACGGGGTTTTGGAAACGCCGAGCCCTCGGGCGGGGAAAGCTACAGTTAACCCAGCTGCCTTTTGCCGCACTAGCTGATGGGGAGCGGGCTGCCGGGGCCTTGGGCTGATCCTGTGCCACTCTTGACGGTGGACCTATCTGGTCAGGGAGAGGGCCAGAGCTGATGCCCAGGCCTGGCTCTAGGAGCGGCCCCCAGGCCTTCCAGCCCAGAGGGCGCAAAGCAAGGCCAGCCTGTCTTCACCACATCCTTGCCCGTGACACCGAGACCCGCCAGCCCAGATTCCAGGCATTATCCTCCCCATGCCGTCCTCTGACCAAAGGCCCTGCCAGACGTGGGCTGCAGCAGCGGGTGTGTGTGAAAGCTGCGTGATGCCCACGGACTGCAGTGCTTGGCCGGCTCGCCGCTCCCCACCCAGCCTGTCCCTCGCACAGCCTCGCACAAACCACGCTGCCTGGGGGGCCCAGTGTACTGAAATAAAGTCGTCGCTAGACACGTCGCTGGGCCTCTGTCTGTCGCCAGCACTGGGTGGGAAGAGGACCTGGGGTCTTTGGACCAAGGTGGCATCTGGCCCGGTCCATGCCACCTGCCAGGCGGATGCAGAGAAAGGGGTGTCCACACCATCCCCATGGTGAGGTTGGGCTCCAGATGACAGCAGCAGCTGTGGACACCCCTGAGGTCGGAGCTCCCAACCCCCCTGTGCAGGAGCGGCTTGGGAGCTCACCGAAAGCCATTTCTGGGCAGGGCACAGTGGCTCACGCCTGTGATCCCAGCACTTTGGGGGTCGAGGCAGAAGCACTGCTTGACCAGCCTGGGCGGCATGGTGAGGCCGTGTCGCTATAAAATATCAAGATATAAGCCAGTGTCAGGTTGTGGTGCATGCCTGTGATCCCAGCTACATGGGAGGCTGGGGTGGGAAGATCGCCAGAGCCCCGGACGTGGAGGCCGCGGGCGCCGTGACAGTGCCGCCGCACTCCAGCCTGGGAGACGGTGACGCCCGACCTGAAAGAGCCATTTCCGGGCCCACACCCACATATCCTGATGAATCGTTTACCCACTTGAACCTGCCCTTGGGGAACCGCCAGGTGCTTGACAAGCGTCAGCGTGTTGAGCCGTCCCGACAACCCTAGAAAGCGCAGATGTTTTTATTGCACGTTTCACAGACAAGGGTGTGGAGCCACGGGAAGGCCAGGCCGTCTCCGCAGCCCTTCCTTCGTGAGCCGGGACAGGCCGGGGCAGTGGGGCTGAGTGTCCACACCCGTACCGCGAGGCTGACTCAAAGCCCTTCCCGGAGCGGTGCTTCCCCGTCGGGGCAGGTTTGCCTCCCAGGATACATTGGCAGCGTCTGGAAATGGGCTTGCTCGTCGCAGGGAGGTTCCCCTGACATCCGGGAGGGGAGGTCAGATCCTGCTGGGCAACCGGCGCCCCCATGTCTCCAGTGCCAAGGCTGTGCCTGCCGGCCTAGCGCAGTGGTTTCAGCCCGGCCGCCTGGTGAGCCCCTGCAGAGGCATTCAGCATGCCAAGGCCGGGGCCGCACCTCAGACCCGGCGAGTCGGTGTCGCAAAGCAGAACTCACGTTGCCTTTCCTGAAGCTCCCGGGCAGTTCTGAGGTCAAGAACCTGACCTGGAAGAGGCTCTTCTTTGACTGCCATGTCCAGCAGTGACACGGGCAGTGCCCGGTGCTGCTGGCTCAGGCCCGACAGCCGTGTCCCCAGTGCCCGTGCATCGAGCCCTCTGTGCACCTCAGAGCCTGAGGCTTAGGAAAACCCCCCGGCCGCTTTTCCAGCCAGGAGTCCAGGCCCCAACAGCACCAGCCGAGTGGGGGCAGGCTGTCGCCTGTCCCAAGGTGGACACCTCAGAAGCTGGTGGGGGTCCCCGGCCCTTCAGCACAGCGGGGACCCTCAGAAGCCACTAAAGGAGGGGTGGAGAGGGTGGCCGCACAGAGGGGGCCGTCGCGGTGTCCCAGTAGCTCCTTGCCGCCAGAGCAGCGGCCCCATCCTGTCCAGTCCCCTTTCCTCCTGCCCCCCAAGGGAGCAGGTCCCTGAGCACATGCGGCCCAGCCCTGTCCAGGCCGGCCAGGCAGCCAGGCAGGGAGGGACTCCGGCCTCAGGGACGCTGGCTTGGCCCAGGGGCCCCCGGCCACCATGCGCCCTCCAGGCCGCACCAAGGGGGCAGGCCGCGTCCTCAGCAGGCAGCCTGGCTGTGCCTCACACCGTCTTGATGCCCAGGGACTGGGCCCGGGACAGGTTCTGGCGCTGGGCCTGGACTATGTGCAGGCGGACCCCGTGCAGCGTGAACTGGGACCAGGCGCAAAGCTGCAGCACGGCGCACGAGAGGGGCACCAGCACCAGCAGGTAGAAGCAGCCCTGGCGGAGGGCCGGGGCCTGCGCAGGGGCCGGGGCCGGGGGCTCGGGCCAGGGCCGGGCGCTCCCCACAGGCGGCAAGGGGGGATGCTGGAAGAGGTCGTGACCTGGGACGGGAGGGGACGCGAGTAAGCTTGGCCAGTGCTCTCCAACGTCCACACGTGGCACCACAGACGCCACAGCCTGGCGCCCTCACCAGCCCCGTGCCACCCTGCTCCCGCCCCCGGGGCCCAGAGCCCCCAGGCGTCCTCGGGCCCAGCTCGGCTCTCCCACCATGCCCACCAGCCCTCCCTCGCCTCCCACCTCCAGAGCACGTCCTGCCTCCACCACCGGGCGGGCCTCCATGCCTCTGCCGTGGGTCGGGTCACCTCCCTGCTGTGCCTGGCCCTCCCTCGTCCGTTCAGGCATCAGCCAAGAAGTGCCCCTCAGACCCTGCCCCTCCTCTGCTGCTCCCTGCCCGTGCCCCAAGCCCCCCCCCGGGGCCTCCC